CGGCGCCATCTTGGCTCACTGCAACCTCCGCCTTCTGTATTCAAGCAATTCTCCTGCCTCAGTCTCCTGAGTAGCTGGGATTACAGGCACATGCTAATTATAGGCACGCCTGGCTAATTTTTGTATTTTTAGTAGAGACGGGGTTTCACCTTGTTGGTCAGGCTGGGCTCAAACTCCTGATCTTGTGATCCACCCGCCGCGGCCTCCCAAAGTGTTGGGATTACAGGCGTGAGCCACCGCACCCGGCCTATGCTTCTTAAATACAGGAAAGAAAAATATTTAGTTGTGATGATACAAATTAAATTATAGGGAAATACAGCAATGGCACAGTGGTTGCCTCACAAATCCTGGAGAAACTATCAAACTAGGCCATCAATCCCTATGGGGAAATCTGAAAACAGGTTTGTTAAAATGTATGAGAAATTTGTCCTTTGGACATAAAGATGATGCCACCAAACACTGCACTGCAACCACTAAGCAGCCTGGACTCTATAAGCGTAATAAAGGTGAATTACTTTGGTTAAAGTGATTGCATGTTAATTTAAGAAATTATCTTCCTCCAAAAGAGGTGCTCATTTTATTTTCCTTTTCTGAGTTATTCAAGTCTACACTGTTTCCTTCTGCCATGTTCAGTGGTTAGCATGAACAAGCATCATCATCATTTAATATTTAACTAAATGAGATGTTAATTTTCACTGCAAGATTAGAGCTGAAAGCATTTACATAGAATTGCAGAAACCAAAGATGCCGGGAAAAATTCCTGAGGATTATTCACAGTGTTCAGTATAGCGGTTAAGAATGTTTGCTCTCGAGTCTTAAGGGAAACCCTAGCACTCCCCAACATTATCACCTCTATTGTGTTACTGGGAGATAAATGAGCAACTCTGTTATGGGCCTATCAGTGTTAGGCACATCAAAAGTGTTCCCCAATTGCTAGCTCCTGCTATTAGTATAAAAAAAAGTGGGGCCCCACTGGCCCCAAAGTGTTGGCTGCTCTATGATTGTTCTCTGGAGACACCATCGGCAGGCCTATTTCTAAGTGAAAGCTGGCATGCAAACTGAAGAAAAGTGGCAGAGGTAGAAGCGCTCTTCTGTCATTTCAACTGGCATCTGGTGAACTATGCGTAACAGCTTAATTCCCAACTGAAAAAAAACTGTTAACTAGGATGGTAAGGAAGGGATGGGGGTTTGAGGAGTGACTACAACTCCTCCTTTTGAGTGTGTGGGTTCAAAAAACACTCCCTCCCCCACTTAGCTTTAGGCAAGCCACTTAACCGTTTCAACCTCCGCTTTCCTCATCTGGAAAATGGGATAACAAAAGTTACTCTCAGTGTAATTGGATTGTTTGTACCTCAATGGATAAATGCTAGAAGGGATGGACGCCCCGTTCTCCATCACGTGCTTATTTCACACTGCGTGCCTGTATCCAAACATCTCACGTACCCCATAAATAGATACACCTACTATGTACCCTCAAACATTAATAAATTTTTTAAAAGTTACTGTCTCCTAGAGTTACGGCGCAGAGCGCACAGCTCCCGCTACATCGCAAAACCACTACCACCTGCAGCAGCCGGCCCTCCGTGCTGGCCAAGAAAGGCGCTGTGGGCTACACAGCCTGCGAGGGGGCGGCTTCTCGGGCTCTGCCACTTACTGCGGGACACACTGGCTCACCCGGTCTGCCTCGGAGGAATGCAGTGAGGATTAAACTAGCTAATCCACGGAAAGCGCTTAAAACGGTGCCTGGCGCGTCCCTGGCCCCCATGCGCCTCGGGGCTGATATTCAACTGCGCATTAGCAGGGCCGTGGGCCCCGCGCCGAGGCTTCCTGCG